GAGGCCCACCAGGTCCACCGGGTCCTCGAGGAAAGGCGGGACCGGATGGATGGCCAGGCATGCCTTCTACGCAAATACCTACTATGGGACCGCAAGGACCGCGTGGGCCGCCAGGAAACAATGGTTTGCCCGGTAAACAAGGAGAACCTGGACAAGACGGACCACCTGGTCAAGATATCGAGTGGGTCAATCAGTTGTATATTGTATTAACCAGTCCACAACTAAAACAAAAAGATGGTAGCTTTCGCATCGATTTGAGAAGTCCAGATAGAGCATTTACGCTTACTTCATGACTAATTTCAAAAAGACTTTGCTAAGAATGCTTAAACCCATTGGAACCATTATATTTTCTGTTGAGAAGTAGAACGATATACTAAACCAATAATCTAGTTTCAGTTATTGCCCATGCCCAGCGCGAACATCACGTGGGAACTCTTTGACTCCTTTCTATACGGTAAAATTTGCTTGAAAACTTAGTGCATTAACAGGTCCACAAACTGCTTACAAAACATGATGATTTCAGAAATCTATGAAAGATTTTCCCCATATGGCCAGCGGAAGAAAGAAACAACTTGTTTTCATTTCCACCGTTCAATTGAATAAAGATGAATGCTCCTCACATTACTACCTTATGTGTGGGAGAAAGTTATGTCGTGCGGCACGTGCCAAAGCAGAACGTTCATTTGATGTTTAGAATTGAGACTAATATATAACAGATTTACTGAAAACAACAACGAGGGAAAACCATTCATGGACGAGGTCCGCCAGGAACTCCTGGTCGGGCCTGAGCGGAACGCTGACCGAAACGAGGAGGAGGATTGCGGTCCTTTCGAGCATCTCGGGATCTGTTACGCACGACTTTGCTGTGAATTGCGCAGGCAACGCAGTAGTGTAGCTTGTGGTAGAGCTTCGGCAGAGCATACTCTGAAACGCAAATGATATTATGATACATTTCAGCCGTAGAATAGAACCATTCATGTACGCTGAAATACAGGTCGCAGCATCTGCACCTACTACATATAAATTCATACACATATACATATAAAATCGAATATAGACAAAAGTATCAGTGACCGGGTCAAACATATCTCGCTTTTTCCGCCAATTTCCACGATTCTCTCCAAATATACAGTGAATTGGCAAATTGAACATTTTGTAGGAAAAACTTTTCGTTGTTCTTCGACTCTGATTCAGCACCTGAGTGAAAATGCGGACAAACTGACTACGTTTTTTTTTCTAAGTCGAATCATTTCTAAGACGAAAAAATTAGTTTTAATTGATGAAGCTTTACTATGAATTTGCGTCTCTAATAGCTGGAAAACAATGAGGTTGAAGACTTCAAGGTCACTACGATGATGTCGTACTGGACTCACGAAGTTTCATAAGGGAAACATTTTCGCAGAACAGAGGAAAGAAGCAGTTGTGTATCCAAAACATCTGCAAGAGAAGGGGCTTTCTCAACGCAACTGTAAGCTTTCCGCAAGGTCGAGAGGGAGTTTCTTTCTTATAGGAATCTTAAACTCTCAACAATGAAGACCAAAATGTTAAGGAATATGCGTGAACCATAGATACTTTATACTTGCCTGAACAATACAACACAGCGAATCATTGCTAGACAATCGTTTTTTTACAAATCACTAGTCACACAAAGGATAAACTTCGGAACCAATACTTTTAGTATGCACACGATAAGGGCGAGACTTAAAAAGTCAGGTTTCCCACACAAACTGCACCGAAGAATCCTCCCCGGAAAAATTTAGTGCTTTGTGCCATATTCGATCAAAATTACACAGACAGTGCCGTCTGAGATAAAGGAGTTACCACCTCCACCACACCATCTTGACCCCAATCACTACCAGTTTTACAATCTATCACATTCGCTGGGTGCTAACTTAGTTGGGGGGGCCACGCGGCGGCGCGGCAGTCTGCTCACCTGGGCTCTCTCGAGCGAGACAGTGTAAACTCGAACATTCCAGCTTTTCACGCATGTCAAGTGACTGCCCCCACCCCCACCCCTAGACTGCCTACACTCCCCCCTGGCCCACGATCCGAAAAACGCCCCCCCCCCTTGCCAGGCGAGCAGACTGCCGTCGCTACGCCAATGCCACCCCTCAACTAATTATCACATTCGCGTACTCACGACGTGAGTTAAACTGACGCTTGATTCATTCAAGAGCGATTTACAAAATATTAACCTGAACCGAAGCCTACCTCAGCCTTCAAAAGCCCCACTTCTATAAGGACATTTTTTTAATACCCTAGAACTCCACGGGTGGATCCCCCAGAAAATGAGTGCGCTAGTTAAAATGAGCACAATCAACATAGCAAAACTGAAATTGCTAACAATATAGCAAAATTTACACACTCACTAAAAAATTTAAGTCAAAAATTAGTGAGTGATCGATCATTTAAACTTAAACAGTATGGGGTCTGGATTGAAAACCGCTCCTTTGACTTGCCCTTTAAAATTGGAAAGAGGACTGGACTTACGAACCATATACCCTTTCCAATACCGAGTATCAGAAAATTGAGCCAAAAGATAAGGCAATTTATCTGATCAACAGAGGGAACAGTTTCAGGATTGTGAGGATTTACCATGAATCCTAGCGGTTTAGTGGTACTCTTATGCAGCTTTGCACTCGTTCCTCACTAAGGCTCTCTAATCGCAAATTATTACGGAGTCACATGCACCAGAAAAATAAAAAAAAAATAACCAAGGAAATATCCATTCCATATGAGTCTTCCCCCACGATGAATTGCGCAAATCCCTTGTAGGAAAAAAGGCAAAACTCGGTTTGGAGGAGGCTGAGGTGGAGAGATTTGAAATACTTGAAAAGTAGCATGGCAAGAATAAGCTAGCAGAGATAATAAGATATGAAAAAATGCAATAGGTAGGAGAAGCGAACAGGCCCTCCCCACATTCTTTCACATTTGGCGCGGCCGCGGCAAACCCGGCCGAGTCGATAGTGCCCGCGAACGGTGTGGGTAAATTTGAAAACGCATCACCACCACAGTTCGCGGGCACTATCGACTCGTCCGCGCTCGCCGCGGCCGCGCCCCAAATCGTGAAGAAAGGGTGGGAACCAAGACCAGTATAACATAGACTAACAACGTTAATGCTATTTGAAGAAGTAGCCCATATGGCAAAGCTTTGCAAGGATGGCCATGATGAATACAAAAATGACCAGAAATATCGGTGCTGCCACCTACAATAACTTCACCCTTGAGTGAGAAGCTAGCGGTGGGTGAACACGGCGAAAAAAAAAAAACAATAAAGTGAGCACTGTTTCTGTACGTTTGCATTGGAAGAAAGGGTCAAGGTATGAATGCGTACCCAGACGGTTCTTCCCTCCTTAAACACACTTGGACCTACAATTACTCAGGATCTTCAGCCCAAACTATGTATCTATTTAAGAAAGAGAGGAGAGCAACACTGACCCACATTCTCGAAGAACCAGTCAAGAACTTCAAGTACTAAGGAGCATTTCACAGAGTTCAATTCTATCCATGTAAAGCTAACTCTTGAGACTAAAGGACCTCTTTCTAGAACAACTAGCTCAACAAATTTAAAGAAAAAGACCAACTCGTTATAAAAACCTACTTTAATTAGTTTATTTCCTGCCACGTTACTCTTATACTCCACCCCCTCTCCGCCCCTTCTCTTACTCTTCTTTAGCGGGTCCAATTTCGTATGAATAACAAAAAACCCGACTTTAAAAAAAGCGATCAGGATGTGAGTGTAGTCTTGTACGACTGGAATAAGCCTTGAAAACTCACGCATATATGCAGAAGCTTCTCCAATATCACGAACAGCCGCAGCTTCGACGATATTTCTTACAACAAACTTCTTAATAGCCTTATCCTTGGACAAACAGCGCCCACAGTTTGTGCAGCGAATGAACGTACAACGTCCTCGATTCTTTTTGTTTCTTCCATGATTTCTTCTCTTAACCGTCATCTTTACCCTGGAATGACCTCAAAATCAAATCATGAATTTACAAAAATCACGAATTGAGACAGATGAAAAAGCAATGGAACGCTGAATGATTTCTGGAACAAAATACATTGTGGAGAACATGACGAGCTCGAAAAATGACTAACAGCACTATTCGCGTCGAACCCCAAACGAGAATACTCTCGAATAGCACTTCCAGCTAAGCCATACTTTATAGAACATTTTGTACTATTACAAAGCCCACCAAAACATCCAACATTTTAAATTGAGCTATACGAAGTTATTACGAAAAAGAAATGGGAAGAAATGAAAGGGTTACTGTAGAGTTGACTTCCTGCACATCTAAAGAGTAAATTGCCACTGGAGCACGAAAACTTCCGGAAGTTGTCGCCATGGTCACCAGGCAACCGCGCAGATGAAACATGTTCTAGGAAAATGAGTACACTGCCATGGTTGATACGATTTCAGGGTATTTTCTGTGTCTGTTAGCACATATAGTTCTGACCGCACATTATCTTTAACCAGGTGGAAGAAATCAAATTGTATAAAAAGTGTTTTAAGGATTTTTGTTCAGGACCCCTTTCATATTGGCATCGTTTCCTCTGTGTACAACTGTGATTCGAGAGGATTCACGAGTGGAGTTTGTGGTGCTGCTGTCACTTTGGCTGCTCATCGACGTCTGCGAGCTCGTCATCCTTCTTATAAGGGCCCCCTCAGTGCCCGTGGCCCTTATCTCTTCCTGTTTCCACGCTGTCAGTTGCATATTTTTGCTCAAATTCATTATAGACGTGCATCCAGTGAGCAATTTTTGGATTCTACTGCTTGCACGTCTTGTCCACCTTTGGTTCTCAATCTGTTCCGATTTTTGATTCATTCACGCCGAAATAAATCTCAATGAGTACTACCGCCAGACAGACAAATCTCTTTATTACTGCGAGACTTCAGAGTCAACGTTAAGAAATAATACTCGCATTCTCTCCAGAGACTCGCAAACAGTTACATGCACTAGGGCGTGGCCCGAGGCTCATGCGCCCGAGCGTGGCTCTAGTACTGCTTTCAAAACAATATAAGTCGAGTTTGAGAAACTAGTACAACATAATGAAGTTCCGACGGGTACAATGGAAAGCTTCCAGAACATTCAATGGTCTTTTTAATGTAAAAAAGGGAAGGATGGGAATTGTTACGAGATACAACGCTTTTACTTATAATGCGGCAAATCAACAGCCACTTTGAAACAAAAGTGAGGAAGGAATAGAGCGCCTACAGACAATGAGAACAAGGTAATAACAAGTTGTGAATGTAAGCTGTACAACGCCAATATTCACTCAACCATTAGAGTTCACTACCAAGTGAATCTAATCTATTAAAGGTTTAAGACTATAACGGACATAAACCACAGGGAGGGATGTCATCCGAACAGATAAATCACATATGAACTTTATTGATGTTGGCAGCGAACTCCGCCTTCCTCGCCGCCGTGGTGGCTTTCCTCATGGCGATAACGATTTACAGCTATTTCATTTAACTCAAATACTTCATCGTCGTCACCAACCAAACATTCACCTGTAACCACGAACATCATGATACAGAAAATGCCGAGAATGGTTTCGAACTTACTTTTGCCAGGCAAAAGCTCAGAAAGCTTCTTCCGTGCATCTGCCGTCAATCTTTCGGGGAAAATAACGCGGAACTGGAGAATGAGATCACCCTGAAAAAAATCCGTATATTTCACGTAGAAATCATTTTCATAGTGACGTGGGTATACTAGCATTCGTGCCTAAACCTATGAAACGAAGAGCTCAAACCAGACCTTTTCCTGAGGATTCCTTCGATGTGGCATTCCCTCTCCATAGATAACTTTCATATCTGCATGTTTAATAACCTCGCCTGAAAAACAAGCCATGCATTTCCGTCTTTGAGAGCTGGAGAAGATGCTGAGGATTTAACTGGTTATTTTAATCACCTGGTAAGACGTTGAAAAAGAGAGTTCTATCATCTAAGGTTTTGATCACACGAGAGAATCCGCACATCGCTTCGACAAGCTGCAATTTAAAAGTTACCGCGAGTGTCTTCCATGGAAAAGAAGAACCTCCAAAGAGGTACTCACCTCGATTTCAAGGTTCATAACCAAATTATCGCCCTTTCTG